GAGCCATTGTTTTCAACACGTGGGCGTGGGTCCCATACGCTAGCACAGTACTCAAGCTTTGGTCGGACAAGACCTTGGTAAGCTTTGGCTTTAAGTGACGGCGAGTTTATCCTCAGGTTCCGCTTAAGGAAGCCAAGAGATCTGTTAGCTTTAGCTGTGATGTCATTAATGTGCTTATTCCATTTGAGGTCATGTGATATATGTACCCCCAAGTATTTTGTCTGCTTGACTTCCGTTAGTGGATCACCATGTAAATAGTAGGTGTGCTGGATTTGCTGTTTGGATCTAGAGATTCGCATGACTTCGCATTTGGTTGTATTAAACTCCATTCTCCAAGTTTTTTCCCATTCCTGAAGAGCATCAAGGTCCATTTGAAGTTGTTTACAGCTAACATCACTTGTTACGGCCAGATAGATGATGGCATCATCGGCAAATAAACGGACCGTCGACCTAATATTATCAGGGAGGTCGTTAATGTAAACAAGGAAAAGAATTGGGCCTATAACGGAACCTTGAGGTACCCCAGATAGCACTGGAGTAAATTCAGATCGCTCGCCATCAACAACAACACACTGCTGACGGTTATTTAGGAAGGCCCTGATCCACAGGAGAGTGTCACCCGTTATGCCATACTTCTCTAGCTTGTATAGAAGTCTGTTGTGAGAAACTTTGTCGAACGCCTTTGAAAAGTCCATTATGATGACATCAGTCTGCTTAGCACGAGAGTTTCCAATGATGTCGTTTATAAACTCTATCAGCTGGGATTCGCATGATCTAAGTTTGCGAAAACCGTGCTGAAATTTGTAAAGGATATCATGACGCTCCAGATGGGAGACAATGTTCTTAGTGATAATATGTTCCAAAAGCTTACTACAGATGCACGTTAAGGGTATTGGTCTATAGTTTTCAGCACAGTCCTTATCACCTTTCTTGAAGATGGGAGTCACTAAGGCTCTTGTCCAGTCGTCTGGTACTTGGTGTGTTGATAAGGACTTGGTGAAGATTTGTTGTAGGACTGGCGCTATAACAGATGAGAGTTCCCGAAGGACCATGGGGGAAAGACCATCCGGTCCAGCAGCCTTATGAACTTTTAACTTCTCCAGAAGTTTAACTATGCCGGTAGTAGTGATGGAGATGGATGGCATAGATGGCATATGTTTTAGAGAGTACTGCGGAAGATTACTTGTGGACTGTTTCTGGCAGAGATGTTTCAAGTCTAGGGGTTCTGGATGTGTGAASACCGACTGAAAGTAGCTGTTTAAAACAGACGYTTTGCCAGATGCTTTGGTAATTAAGTTTCCTTGATGTTTGAGCGGAGGTATCCCTKTGATGTCAGTTTTTGAGTGCTTAAACAAAMCCCAAAAGCGTTTATTTGCACCTAAGTAATCGTCCTCACTCGTAGGGGTAATGATGTCTTCCACATACTTCCAGTAGGCAGAGCGGAGTCTCTTTTGTACAGTATGTTTGATGGTCTTGTAACGAGGATCGTTTCGTGCGCGTAGTTTGTCCCTCTTCCTTGATTTGCGAATATGCCGCTTGAGCTGTTACGGGATAATTAGGCTCCATAACGGAAGAGTTTAGATGACTTCACTCTCTGCTCCTAATCAGTATCCGGCGGCAAATTGGAGGCGCCGACGCATCAGAGTATCTAAAATAGGAGGTAAGTATGACGTGTACTGTGTCGTTCAAAGGGTTCGCGAAGTATGTCTTAAGACAAGTACAGTGTAGACAACCTACATTCAAAGTTCCTTTATATCTGCAATGCGTCGAAGGTTGGAGACAATCCTGGATCCAATACCTTATACTTGCTCTCAAGCGTGTGTCTGTCAAGGAAACTGAGCCTTGTACACACTATTTAGTCATTTCTGAATCATTTAACAAGAAGAAGCAGCTACGAAAAAGAGTTTAGCTCAAAGAGTCCAAAAAGGCTGAGAAGCAAAGCACCCAGGGGTGACTCCTGGGGAAAAAACATACTGTTTCCCGAGGTTTCCAGTAAATAAGTGCTTTATTATCATAGAACTCTATCAAGTGTCAAAGAGAGCAAAAAAAGTAAATAAATGAAGTTTTTTTATTAAAGATTTTGATAAAATAAACTGAAAAATGGCAATGGCAAATAGTCACTAAAATCAATCAATGTAATAANATCTGCTGAAGTACAAGGGATGTTGCGAGTGAAAGACTCGGAAACTCGCGAAGTCAAAGATTTATGTGGTTTGTGGAATTTCCGCGCTGACATGTCAAATGACCGAGAAGCGGGCTTTCGGGAGTCATGGTTCTCAAAGCCACTTTCAAAGGTATTTGAAATGTTTTCAGATTTTTTTGTGACTAAGAATGTTTGAAGTTTTGATGTCCCTTGATGAGTATTTATGCAAACAGCAATAGAATATGAAAATTTGAAGCATGAACAATGTCAACAAACGATTAAAATGCATATCTATAACTTATAGCTCAATGGGACCAATGGAGCTTGCTGGGTGGGGTTGTGCCGCTGGGACCTCAAAACCCTGACCCTGTTCCAGAGTGAAATCGCTGATAACTATACCCTGTTCCAGAGTAAAATCGATGAAAACGATACTCTGTTTCAGAGTAAAATCCTGCACTAGCTTGCATGTAGACCGAATTTTTACCCCATGAATTTTTATCCAGCATCAATAATTCCGGAATTCAACCCTGACCCTGTTCCAGAGAAAATTTGTTGACATCGATACCCTGTCCCAGAGTAAAATCGCTGAAAACGATACCCTAACTGGCGGCACGTCCCCGTATAGCGAATATAGGGGAGTACCCCCCCCCCGGGCATACTTTGATATTTGAGGTGTCATTCTATTCCAGCGTGAAAAATATATCATAAGTTAATGCTAATTAGTGGGCACCCATCACTTTCATATTATTTAATTCTTCTTTTAATATTACTTTTTTTTAACAATTTGTGTTCTGTGTTTCAGTCTGGTACAACCATTCCAATGCCTGTGCCATCAAGTTATAATGACGTTACCCAAGATAGGACCCTTAGGGACTTTATAGGATGGGTGTGGTATGACAGAGAATTCTTTGTCCCTCATTCTTGGAATGACTTGAACAAGACAAGAGTTGTGTTGAGGTTTGAAAGTGCACATTACTACAGCATAGTTGTAAGTTGATTTAAGTTTAAAAACTCACTATGACTTTCTGTGAATGGGGTAGTAAGTTTTTTTTAACCAGTGGTGGTGCTATGAACATGTAAAAATGACAAAAACCTCAGAAATCAATCAAAATGTTAATATTTAACTTCATCTAGGGTCTCCTGGGTTATAACGTATTTGATGTGGGCTTCCATCAAGAAGCTTTTAGTTTTCAAGGTTCAAATTAGTTTTCTCAAGATTTACAGGGCTCAAAGTAGTGCACAGTGACTACTGATATATGAAAAAAAATTAAAAATTATTTGAATCTACAAATGTTTTTATTTCAATATTATATTTCCTGTCCATGCACACTTGTCAAACAAGTATCCAGTAATTTTCAAAACCCTCTTTCTTTCTAGTGGATATGCCTGAAAATGTCCTGAATCAAATACATATGTGGACTCAAAACAGAATATGTACATCAACTTTCTGTCATTATGTGGATGAGTCCTTAGATGGTTCACATGGAATATTTACCATGATTTAATTCGGCTTCATTCAATTGTTTTGTATTGCAGTGGGTGAATGGGAAAAAGGTCGTAGAACATGAAGGTGGACACCTCCCATTTGAAGTTGAAATCACCACAGATCTTGCTTACAACAAAGTCAACTGGATAACAGCAGCTGTGAATAATACCCTTACACCAACAACACTACCGCCAGGGACCATAGAATACCTGACAGGAGGTGATGGGTATGTAGAATGCACCTACTCCTCCTTTGTTGGGTAGTAAAACCACCCTTATAATAACGTAGCAATGCATGCCACCTTGGGATAACATTTGATGGCTTTTTAGCATGTCAAGAGTAATAATCGATATTTTAATAAGTGAGCAATATTAAATAAAAAGACCTGAAGTAGTTTTATATGATCTGAATGCATAGTTTATGGCAGACATAGTGATGATCATTATCATAATTGTCTGTTTCAGGTATCCTCCAGGTTACTTTGTTCAAAAATACAAATTTGACTTCTTCAACTATGCAGGCATCCACCGACCTGTCAAGCTGTACACCACATCCATAGCATATCTCTCAGATATAACCATCACCACATCCTATGACCAAACCTCGCAGTTAGCTGTTGTTCAATTTGACTGTCAAGTTGGAGCCCCTGATACAGTACCTGAGAATGAAATTACAATGAAATATGATTTGTTAGATAAGGATAACTATGTGGTGGCTACAGATAGTGGTGCTGACATGTTTAAGGGACAGTTTACAATTAAGAACCCAATACTTTGGTGGCCTGTTGGTATGAGTAACATCACTGCTTACCTGTACACACTGAAAGTAAGTGCTTTAATTACTGTTCTATTTATTGAATAACTAGATGCATAGCTGCGTTAACTCGGGGTTCTGCTTGACGATAAAGTCACAACAGCTTGAGTGTTGTAGTTGAAGAATTGGACTGTATTGAACCTTAATAAAGTTAATATTAATACTATCAAAAGGGTAAAGCAAAAAATACTTCGTGAATTGAAAATAATAAAAAAAGCAGTGTACTCAACATTGATATTATGAAAAATTGATCATCAGCAAGCCGGTCTCACTTTGATAGTTATATGGCAGGGTGTAAACACAGAGTCCTTTATCTTTTCCGCTTCATAAAATACATCCAATCGTCGTTTTTTTCCCAGAAGAACTCTGTTTGCATTCCTTAGATGAGTCCTTTGTAGTTTCAGAGCCAGCATACTAGTAAGTTCATATATAGTTYGCTTGTGCTATGATAGTTCGCTTGTTTGATTGACAATTCTCGATAGGTCTCGATAGACTCTATCGATAGACTAGAAAGATAATGCACTAGTCAAAGTAAACCCCCTCCCCCCAACCCCCCCAACCCGGGACAGGGTGGGGACTATGTGGGGCTTGGGATCACATTTGACCAGCAATGATGCCCAGGAGGGTGGGGATAAAGTGAATATTTTACAAGAGTTTTAATATAGTTGGGGCGTAGCGGGGCATAAGGTCGGGATTGGTCAAATAATAGTCAACTTTAGATATTTTGGTTCAATGACTATGTACAAAAGAACGCACACAAGGCTCCAGGGAAGCAATGGATAATCTTGATTTATTCTTTTATTTCCCCAGAGCCTCGTCTGCAATTTTTTTGTGCATGGTCACTGAACCAAAATATCTAAAGTCGGCTATTAGAAAAGGCCTGGAAACTCTTAAAATGCAACTTGGGCTTCCTGTGGCCCTATGAATGTCATGGACCCCCACAGATGCATTGAACTGCATGGCTGGTCATGTAGAAATTGCTGTAGAAAACAAAGAATTTTATTCAAAATGGCATTTTGTTTCACTTAAATTTCACAGTTATATTCTAATAGTTTTCTCTCTGTTTTGGTTTTTGTCCCCAGGGGGGTCGGAGATTTGATTTCCCATTCTCCCTCACGATGTGGGGTATTTACCAACATTTGCCAAGTCCATTTTTCAAATGCACCACATATCCCCACCCT